GTTCAATTCCCAGTAACCACATGGTGGCTCACAACTATCTATACTGGGATCTGATGCCCTCTTCTGGCATTCAGGGGTACATGCAGACAGAGTACTCATATACAGAAAATAAATACCTATTTAAAAAAAGAAAACTTATTACCAAAGTGATGACTTTGTTTGGGCAAAATGGTGTATGTGTGACACACTACAGCTTCCACAACAAGATTTCTTTTTCATTCTATCTTTATTTTCTTTTCTTTTTGGGGAGAAGTTGCAAGACAGGAGGGCAGGTACAAAGGGACAGAATTGGGTGCATGATATGAAATCCACAAAGAATCAAAAAGTTTTTGTTTTTTTTTTTTAAAAAGTGATGATTTATATTTTATAATAATAATAACTGATCAGTTCTAAGTTTTAAGATTTTATTTTAGTATGTATGCATCAATGTGTGTCTTTGTATCTGTATGCCTGCAGGTCGGAAGACAGCATCCCCTAGCACTGGAGTTATAGTGAGCTACTTGTGAGTCCTGGGAAGGGAACTAAGGTCCGCTGCAGTATTCTAGTCCCTTTCCTAAGTTTTAAATTTAAGCATTTTCTATATAACACCAAAATTAACACTAAGATTTAAAGTGTTGCCAAAGTAAATAGGTATGAGAGACTGTTTATCACTTACCAAACAATACAATGTAGTGAGACCTAAGAGAAGCCAGACTCATCCAAGTCTGTTACAAAAGGAAGCAAATTACAAAGTACTATTCATTTAGTCAAGGCATAACTTTAAACAATCAGTGATAGATTTTCAGTGCAATACAGTAATGAATTTTTAATATTACAATCTTTTTTCAAATGATGACTTTTAAAAATTATACTCAGTAACAAAATTACAGTTTTCAGTACTGAAAGTCATAGAAAAACTTTCACAAACACTGTAAGACGGAACAAAAAAAGGTGTGCAGCCTGCTTTCGGATGCTTTGACAATACTATTGCACTGCTAGCTGTAAAGTACAGTAGTGCAATAAAGTCAGAGCATCCGTTAGCAGGAGCGAGCAGAAAAGGAACGGAAGTTCCAGCGTGCAAAGACTTTAAACTTGAGTTGCCAGTTTGGCTGGAAGACATCCAACCTAAAAACATTTATACCATTTTTTGAAGGACAAAAGACTTAAATAGCAAAGTGATAATTGGTTTTGAATGACTAACCTGTAAGTAGCAGCATTCAGACGTGAACATACACAGATGTAAAGGAATTTTGCATTATGTCCTGAGCCTTTCGGAATTAACATGGCCATCAGTAATACTTTATGGTTGATTAACAGAATCAGCTGTAATAATTACTGAGGCAAATGTGTGAAAAGCATTTCTGTTCCCTGCTGAAATGTAATGTTGGTTAACTCCTCTTCCAAAGCAGTTGGTTACCTACCATAGAAAGCAAGTCTTTTGAGAAATTACTTCAAAGAAAACAAGTGAAAAGGACTGGAGAGACAATTAAGAGCACTTGTTCTTGCAGAGGTTTGGCGCCTGAAAAAAATCATGAAGTTCCAAGGGATCCAATGTCCACTTTTTACCTCCTTGGACACAAGGCACACGGATACATACATGCAGGCAAAACACTCCTATTCATAGAACGAGTCTTTAAAAAGGTAGGAAACAAATAAATCTCTCAAATCTCTATTCCCAATGTATCTCTACAGGATCTAACACACATGTGCACACACACACAGAAAACTTAAATCTTGTGCCTCTTTAACTTGTTTACTGAGGGCTATTATGAAGAGGAAAGAGATTATCAGGGAGGCAGTATATTCTAAACAGGATATTAATTTCACTTTAACTCTGAAAATATCCTATGTAGTGAAGAAAGGCATAGCCATTCCCTTCAAATTTAGAAATATCAAGAAAACCACGAGAAGGATAAACTAAAGTTTCCTTAAAAGTCAAATGTGAACCAAGAAACAGAATCCAAGTATCCTATTGCATTACCTTTTGTTAACAATCCCCACTGGTGTCACAAAAGGAGGGCAGGAGACAAATACCCCTCACCACTAAGGGAAGGGAAGATGCTAGAGAACAAAGATTACCCTACAATGAGCTTATTCCACCATTAGTAATGTTGATTGATGCAAACATACATTCCCATTATTTTCATTGGCCTTCCTTTAGTTGTCCAGTTCAGCTACTTAGATTAAACCTACTAAAAAATGGACTCAGATTCAGAATAACTGGGATATTTCAACAAATCCTGGGCCACAAAACTCAAATTTGGGAATATTTAACTCTGCTACCCAAGCATTGTTTTAAAGACAAATATTTAAAAAGCAAATTTAATTTTCTAAATTAGATGTTAACACAAAAGAAATATCAAAAAAATTCATTAAGATTAGACTTTTCACAGAGTGAGGATAACTATTGCCTTTACAAAGTTAGTGTGCACTCCTACTATGTATCTAAGGGCTTCTTAACAAATCTTTTAGGTAATATAAAGACCTAATAACAGAAGATGAAACAAGAAATCATTTTTCTGTGGTTTAAAAACAACACTGTTTCAACATACATTTTTTTTTTTAAAGGAGCATGGCAAATGTGAAGAAGAGATGTCTCCTGCTGTCTTGTCAATAAAAAGCAGTTAATACTGAAAATCATGATAAAAACGTAATTTGTTTTTCAAGCCCTTGATTATGAAAAAATCAGTAACTTGGAAAAACTAAATGCTATCATGGATGTGCTTAAGAAAGAGTCACAAAGGGAAAGGCTGCTTTCCTTTCATCCTCTGCAAAAGGAAAATTTAAAGTTACCCCATAATTTATACAATATCTAAAGTTCAGCGACCTCATAACTTCCTAAAACTTGCTTTTCTCAGGACGTTTACTTGCGTTTTCCTTAAAGTCAGAGTATTGATTGTACTGGAAAGGCTGCATAAAGCTTAGAAATTGATCAACCAACTGGAGAAAACAACCTGTTAAAAAAAAGCCTTTAATAAGCAAAAATATCTGCACCTATTGCAAAGGAATTCCTAATATGGGGGAAGAACAAGAGAATCTGCATGCCTGATGATATACTCTAACCACAATATGTAGCATTTTGTGTGTATTTTTAATATGGTAATAATACCATACACACACAAGAAAAATCCTTAAGTCAAATATTCATTTTTTCAAGATTTGGAAAGCTGCAAAAATTTCTTCTCCCCTTTCCCCTTCGATCCCCACACTCTCCCCACCCCCAACAAAGAAAGTTTAAGAAAGCCTTCTAGTAGAATGTGTTTGAAACACCTGAATTAACGCCAAGAGAAAAGAAACCCAAGCCTCACACTTTCTGCGGTGAAAACTGGGGGAGCTAGTTTTCACCAAGATCACCCCAAAGTCCCTTCCAAGGCACAAGTTACGGACTCAAGATTTTTCAGTAGCACAGGAGATAGTAGCACAGGCATAACCGATGCCTAAGCAGAGGGGAGGGCAGATGACGAGAAAGAGAGAAGTGCTTTACTTTTTAACATTAATCTTGTTATTTAAAGGAGAGGGGGTGGGGAGGTGACGCAAGGATTCCTCCTCGTTCTGTATTTCTGAGGACGCCCTTCCAATCTGGAAGAGGGGCGATCATGCAGAAGAGGCCCGCAGACAGACAGGAAAACGAAGAAAAAAGGCGCGGCGAGCAGGCAGGCGGTGCAAGGGCGGGAACGGAGCAAGCGCCGACGGGGGATCCTCACCGAGGCCCAGCAGGACCCCCCGGCCGGGCGCCCGGGACTCGGCAGCCCCGCCAGCGGCCGCCGAGGTCCTTCCCGCCGGGTCTCCCCTCTCGGAGGGGCGAAAGCCGGAGGCTCGACAGCAGCAGCCCCGGCCCGGCGACGCCGCCCGCGCTGCGGGCTGGGTCCCCGCAGCTCGGCCCTCGCCCCTCCGAGCCGGGCCCCGGAGCCCGCGGGAAGTTTCCCCGTGCGAGGCCAGCGTGCCCCTGCGGGCCGCGCCAGCCCGGCCGCCCGATCGCCCCGGCACGCCGGCCCCGCCTCACCCTCCACGTCCCCCTCCGCGGGAAGCGGGAACCTCTCTCCTCCGCCGAGCGCTTCCAGGCCGCTCCGTTCCCGTCCGGGGGAGGCGGGCGGAGGGGCAGCAGGCGGCGTCCGTCCCAGTGCGGCTGCTGGAGTCGGCGGGGAGGCAGGCGCGGCCGCGGGGACTTACAAAGGCCCCACACCCTCCGCATCTCCCGCCATTTCCCTCCCGAGTTCCCCGGATGTAACCCCTTCCCCCGCGGCGGTTAGGAGACCGAGGCGGCGGGGGCTCCCCTTCGCCGCAGGAGGAAGGACCTCAATTCGGGTCCCAGCCTCCACCACCCAGGTCCCCGGCGACTCCAAACTGCGCCTCACCCTCTAGGCCTTTTGGGGGGAGAAGATGAGCTACCCAGGAGGTTTTCTGCACTCTCCACTCACCATGAGTTCCAGCTTATCGACCTCCGCCTCCATGTTGAATAGTTGACATTCCTCAGACCGCGGAGGGGCTTAAGCTGCAAGCCGTGCTAGCACTGAGGGTCTCTATTGGACAGCTGTCACTCAACGTCTCGCGCTCATTGGCTCGTCCGTTCCGCCGGCGCCCGCCCATTGGCGGTTGGGTAACGCCCCTCCTTATGAAAGGCATTTTCCCGTTGGGCAGAGACACAAAACGCCGCAGGAGGATTGGCTGCTGAGTATGTGATTTTTTCCATTGGCTGCCTTCTGGTCTCTACTTTCAAGTTCATACTTGGGAAAGAGTTTGCGATTGGCGCACTCGGAAGCAGCAGCAGCCAATGACGTGAAAGCTTCCACCGCCGGCCTAGGCGACGGACACACCTTCTTTTCTCTGCGGCTTCCCCGCCCCTTCTCGCCCGCCTTCCCTTATTCATACAGGAAGCGCCTCAGTTCCGATTGGCCAGGATGTGATGAGCTCTTGGCCAATCGCAATCCAGGTTGCGCTTGGATCCCTTCAGGACAACGAACCCTGCAGAGAGCACGTCTACGATTGGTTGCTCCTCGGCCAGGATTTAATTTTGAATTTATCTTTGCGGCGTGGAAGAGACTCGGGCCCGAACTTCGTCTAGCCCCCAGGCTCTTACGCTAGTAAGTGCAAGGACGATTTTTTTTTTCCTTTGTTACCTGGCCTTCCGTCGCTCGGACTGCGGACGGCCGGTTCTCAGCGGGAAGGGGGTGGGCTCCTACGCCGGACAGAGGCGAGGGATGGCGCAGAAAGGGGAAGGTCTGCGGCGGACAGGACCTCCGCGGGCAACGCTCGGGCCGCGTTTCTCTACTGCGCTCTGCAATGTACGCTGTAGGGCGACTGCCTTCTGCCCGGTCTTTTCCGTAACTCTTTGCTTCTCCAAGTGGGCCCAGCGACTGGCGGCGTCGGCTCGTCTGTCCGCCGGGGACCGGTGCCAGTAATCCGCCCAAATGAACCGAGTCGGGCTGTGTATTTAACCAGGTGCTCTCCCCCGCGGTTCTCAGCGCTGTTTGTGGAGGAATGTTTTCTTGACAGTTCGTTTTACAACGTTCTTTGATGCGGCGCTTACTTCCGACGTCGATTTGATAGCCGGGCGCGGTGGTGCATGCCTGTAGTCCCAGCTCTCGGGGAGGCAGTGGCAGAAAGCTGGGGAGTTCGAGGTCAGCCTGGTCTGCAAAGCGAGTCTAGGACAGCCAAAAGTATACCCTTTTTGCTATATGTCTAGTAGTGTGCTGGGTGACACGAGAAAGGTACGATAAAGAGCCCCCCCGGGGGGGGCAATACAAAAAACAAACAAACAAAAAAACATAAAACAAAATTAACTATGGGAAAATGACAGTAGCCTGCTACAGTATTCAAGGTGAACCAACTGAATTGGTAATGGACGTTGAATTGACCAGAGGCTATTTAGGTGGATATGTAAAAAAATAAAATAAAAAAAAATGTGTGTGTGTTAGAACGTTGGTGATGAAATGGCAACTGTCATTTCCGCTGGGGCAACAGCTTTAGAAGTGCTCCTGGCCAAAGAACTTTTCATATAACTGGTGGAGTTTTAAAAGAAGTGTCAACTCATGCAGAAGACTAATTATTGTTCTGAGACAAAGGCGTGTGTAACCCAGATTGGCAAAAAATTGAATGGAGCAAGGATGACCCTGAGCCAGAGTTATCCTTTATCCCTTATCCCCCTCTGGAGTTCTTGGGTTCCAGGCCTGTGTACCAAAATGCCAATTGATGTGGTACTGTACTGTAGATTGAACTTGTGGTCTCTTGTATGTAAGGTCAGCACACTACAAACAGCTGTCAGCCAATGTAATTCTTGTTCTTTTATTTTTCATTTTAATTTTTTCTCTCTCTCTCTCTTTTTTTTTTTTTCCAAGAAAGGGTTTCTCTGTAGCCTTGGCTGTCCTGAACGCACTCTGTAGACCAGATCCACCTGCCTCTGCCTCCCAAGTGCTGGGATTAAAGGCACATGTCACCATGCCCTTAAATCTTCATACTTGAAAATGTTTTGATCCACTCTTTAACCATAAAGATATGATTTGGTTTGAATAACTAAAAGCCCCGCTACCAAAAGATATTGTCCTGCAATTGTGTTAGTCTTAGAGGATATTCCTTAAGTAAAAGAGAACCGTTGCTGGCTAATACTGGGAAATGATAGTATCTTTTATTCCTTTAGTTGGCCTTCCTGCTCAGGTAGAAGGGTATTCTAGGAAGCCCAGGGACCATACAGCTCTGAGAGAAAGCCTCCTTAGCAGAGGTGTTGCAGCTCCCAGGGGAGGGCATTCCCAGCTGAGCAGAAAAGCTCAGGAGCCTCAGCCCCACTCCCTTCTTTGCTTCTTCCCATCTTCACTTCATTACGTGTTGGCTTCTTCCAATAAGGGAGTCACACCAGGCAACAAATCTCATAAAAGAGATCTATTGGAGGGATGAATCCAGGGTTTGGAGGGACGAATCCAGGGGTGGCTGCCTCTGGGCCAGCAGGGAATTGAACAAAGGGTAGGGCTCATATAGGATTTCTTAGGGGGAGAGGGGCAGATTGGTAGGGTTTCAAGTCCTGAGCTTGGGGAACTCAGGGATTGATCTTGAAAACCCTTCCGAGATCAGGGATTGTTGGCTTTTTTTCACCCTTCTCCCTGCCTCAGCCCCATGGCTTAGCACAGGAAGAGTTTCCTGGCCACAGGCAGCTTTGGCTAAGGCACCATCGCTGGGAAGCTGCTTGGGAGGCTGGAGAGAGGGTACTGCAATAGACACATGGTATCTCAGGATGGCCTCGGGATGAGGTGGAAAAGAAGATGCAGCCCACTGTGGACAGCTCCTGCAGTGGTCCCTCAGGACTGCTGGGGGAGGGGCCATTGCTTTGACAGCTCTCACAGGCTGTGCTAAGAGACTACACCTTCTTTATTGAGGAAAACATGCAATGTGTGGTGTTTTGTACAGCTAAGGAAATAGGTAACTAAAAGGTAGGTAGGTGAGCAGTCACACAACTGTAACCTTAGCACGTGAAAGATGGAGGCAGAAAGATCAGGAGTCATCTCGGGGTGCATCTAGTTTGAGGCCAGTCCTGATTTTGTATGCCTTCTGTGCCGATAATCCTAGCATCCAGGAGGCTGAGGCAGGGAGATCTTTTGTTCCAGACCATCCTGAGCTTCATAATAAGATCTTCTCTCTCAAAAAAAAAAAAAAAAAATGTGGGTCCAGAGAGATGGCTCAGAGGTTAAGAGCACTGTTTGCTCTTCCAGAGATCCTGAGTTCAATTCCCAGCAACTACATGGTGGCTCACAACCATCTACAGTGAGATCTGGTGCTCTCTTCTAGCATGCAGGCACAATACTGTATACATAATAACTAAATGTCTTTTTTTTTAAATGTCCTCACATCAACCAATTCAAATAAAAAATATAAGTAAATAAATTATAAATAAATGTTAAATTTAAAATGCATCTTATAAATTTGACTGACAGTTAATCCAATAAAATGCTTTCACTTCACTGTTAGCCTTTGAGGGTTAGCCTGAAAAGACACTTTGGTACCAGGCTACGTCACAGTTTTTATAACCTGTAGAGGGAAGTGAGGAGGTGTTCTGATAATCTGAGAGCTGAGCAAGTGTATGCAAATACCAAGTGCCAAAAGGTTACCAAGTGAACAGAAGTAAAATGAGTGTTTGTTTATCAGGCACAGGGTCCCACTATGTAGCAACATCTGGCTTGGAAGGAGCAATTAGACCAGCCTGGCCTTGAACTACCAGAGATAACCTGCCTCTGTTTCCCAAGCTGTACACCACCACCTAGGTCTTTAAGTGTGTCGCTCTAAGTTTGAATCCCTGGCCCGAGGCAGACCATTTTCATCTCTGCTGCTTGAGTAACATCTTTGTTCCTCCAGTATCAACAGCTAAAACCAGAAAAGCCCTTTAGGAGCTTCAGACCAAACTAACCCAGACTTTTTACTTTCTCAGAAAAAGGATATATATTAAAATATAAACATACTAATTAATATTTTAAGTGCTTCAAAATAACTGTCTTAAAACAAGTCTTTGACGTTGGGTGGCTGTATACGGCCTGTGTAAGTTACTACTGCCCCATAGTCTCCCAGACAAAGTCATGGTCTCTGAGGTCTTACAGGTCTTCATTTTTATGCTTTATTATATAACATTAGGCAGATCTCTAATCTAACCCTCAGCTTAATTTTGTATAAAACTGGGACTAAAATCTTCCTTGTCTGGGATAAAACATTTGAGGAAGTTGAAGACTAACAGAGGAAAACTAGAATGTACCCACTGCTGTTGAATACTTATTAATTCTAGAGGGCTTTTCTATGACCCAGATAGTTCCCCAATAATTGAGACAGAGACCTGCTGATATTTTTTTTAAAACAGCCTTTAGGCACAATAATTGGGTAGGTATGAGTTAAGCCTATTTTGTAAGCTAGTTTGATTACCTCCCAGCTGCACTCCCCAAGTTACTTGCCAATATGTCATCCTATATGGGCTAGATCTGCTCCATCAGGCGATATTCTTTCTCAACATGTTCTTCTCCTTCTTTCTCCTCTCATCTCCCCAGGCCTCATGGTCCCTACCTGAGACCATCAAGCCCAAGAACTGAAGCTCCACCTACTTCTCTTCTGCCCAGTTACAGGCTGTCCAGTGTTTTTTATTAACCAATCAGAGATGTTTGGGAAACAAAGTTTACACAGCAAAGATCAGTGCTTCTGAGAAAGCACTCCTCTGGACTACAACTAGATCTTGGGGCTCAGAATTTAGCATTTGTAGACCAACCCCCACCACCCTACACTTAAGGGGCATTTAATAAATGATCCCTCCCACTATGACATCTGCCTATCATAGTAGATTCCCATTATATGTTGCTGAATCACAAACCTATCTTTTTAATATCAATCTACTACTGTTATTTTCTTTTATAGGGGTTAAGTACTGTGGTCAGTTGGGAAAGTGTCTTCCTCACATGCAGGAAGCCTCATCGTGGCTCTCCAGTTGGATCCCCAGCCCTGCATAAACCCAATGTGATATTGCCAGCCTTTAGCACCAGCAATCAAGGAAGAGGCAGGAGTCTTTCTTAGTTGTATAGGGAGTTCGAAGGCCAGCCTGGGATGCATAGGATCTTGTCTTTAAAAGGGAGGGGGGATTAGCTCAGTAGCAGAGCTTTTGCCTAGACAAGTACAAAGCCCTAGGTTTGGTCTCCAGCCGAGAAAGAGAATATTGCAGAGAATAAAGAGAATTTCATTTGACTTCATGAATGAAAACAACAAAAGCAAAGTGAGAAAGTAGTGTAAAATCAAAAGAAAAAGGTCTCCAGGGACATTTTAAATCTGAGTTTACCTTTTCTTCCATTTGAAGTGATCTAGAATTCTGGTTTTTGGTTTGGGTTGTTTTTTTGGTAGACAGGGTCTCATGTACTCAGGTTGGCCTTGAACTCATTAGGTAGGTGAGGCTATCCTTGAATCCTTTTCTACTTGCTTCCACCTTCCAAATGTTAAGTGCAGCTATGTACACTATACCCAGGTTTTTAGATGTTTTGGAGACAGGATCACTTATATTTGTATCTTAAGATGTTCTCCAATCCACAATGGTCTTTCTGCCTCAAAACACAACCCCCAATGCTGAGTTTTCAGGTACCTACTGCCATGCCCACAGATACAATTTATTTCTTGACCAAGGTTGGAGAAGAAGAAAAACAAAACCAAACCTTGAAATAAACTTGCAATAACCAAGATGGTGTATTCAGAGATATATGAAGTTTCTATATCATAAGTCATTGAACTGTACACTGAAGATTTATACATTTTCTGTATGTATACATTATTTTTTTAATAAAACATGCATTTTAGGTGCTGGAGAAATAACTCTGCAGATGAGAATACTAGCTGTTCTTCTAGAGGACTTGAGTTCAATTCCCAGCAGGTCACAACTATCTGTAACTCCAGTTTCAGAGGCTATGATGCCTTCTTCTGGCCAACTCAGGCACTAGGCGTGCAAATGGTGCAGAGACAGACACACGCACAGGCAGAACACCCATATACATAAAATAAACATTCTTTAACTTCAAATTTTTCTTTACAGAAATCATGCCCCAGTTCAAACAGCGAAGAAGAAAGCTAAGAGCCAAAGCCAAACGATTATTTAAGAAGAAAGAAGCCTCTCAACTCCAGCCTAAGTTACTGACACCTCCCCCTCCACCACCCACGCCAGAAAGGTATACAGTGTAATGGAGAAGACAGAAAATACTAGATCTCATCTGTATAGAGATACCAGTTCAGCCAATGATCGCATAGATCGTGCAGTCAAATTTGAATTTCATCCCCCAAATAAATCGTTTTTATTTTAAGTATGTCCCATGTAAAGTTTGAAATTTGCTTATGCTAAAATTGTTGCTGGGCATCATAGTTCATGTTTCCTGTCACCCCACTGCTCAGTCAGTCAGACCCCAATCCTGAGTCACACTGTAAACCGGCTATTTATGATAGGTATAGCTCACTGCTAGAATGTATGCTCAGCATACAAAAATAATTAATTGAATTTAAAGTAAATAGAACGTCTAATTACTTATTGGAGGCTGTTTCTCTGACCTGGGTTGGGTTTTGGAGGGGGAAGGGGAAATGTTTTGGGTTTTTTTGAGAGAGTCTCACTATATAGCCTTGGTTGTTCTAGGACTCACAGGAAGTTCCACCCAGCTTTATAAGTATGACTTGAGAGCAGGGATGGCCTTTCCTTCTTTTTTGAGGCAGAGTCTTATGATATTGTTCTGACTGACCTGGAACTCACTATGTTGAACAAGCTTGCCTTGAACCTATGTCCGTCCTCCTGTCTCTGCTTTCCAAGTGTGCACCACCATGCCCAGCCAAGACCTATGGATTTTTATTTGTTTTGTTTGATGTCTCTTCACACAGAGTGGTTACTTCTTCAGCAGATGTACTCCAAAGCAGAAGCTGGCTAAGACCTTCTTGGAACTTCAAATTTCCCAACCTCAAAGATATAATAAGCCTTTGGACAAATAGAGCATGGTACATATACAGTTTCTGCCAGAGCTGCATAGCCCAGGTATAGAGTTCTCAGCAATCTAGTTTCTGCTTTTGTTGTGCCATGCTTAGTATTTGTATTCTTTTGCTTGACACACTCCTGAGGCTAAGCCTGAATAAGATTAATCTGTGAGATTACACCTGTCTTTGCATATGTAAGACCTGGGTGACACCACTTTCTTTATCATATTGCTCATTAGACTCAGGCTTGTTTATTTGTGAATTTCAGAGTTTCGAAGCATTGAAAGATGCCATCTTCCCATCCCGCGTCTACCACAGAGAACTTCACAGTCTAAAACAACAATGTTGTGTTTTGAAAAGTGAATTATGCAAGCTCCAAGAAACACTGAAGGTCGGTTTTGCCAAACCAACAAATCCAGAGGTTTTATCTGAAAATACCATTACAATAGGAAAATATTCTGGCTGTAAATTCCATTATTACCTCAAATGTCAGGCAAAAAAAAGTTCCTTTTGCAAAGGAGGAAGGCAAAACTACAGTGGGGTGCACTGGAGAGCTGGCTGCCCAGTTAAGAGAGTGCACTGCTCTTGCAGAGGATCAGGCTTGGTCCCCGGCACCTACAATGGGAGTCTTACAACTGCCTGTAACTCCAGCTTCAAGGGATCCAACCCCTCTAGCTTCCACAGGCGTCTGCACTCACGTGTGCACACGCAAACATCCGCATAAGTAAAATTCAAAGCTTTTTTCACACGCACATTGGGAACAGTTAATGGTCTAGGCCACACAAACAAAATAGAAGTATAAAAGGAATTTCAATGGACAACGGTGAATTTAATCAGATTGGCAAAACAAAACCTAAAAGGTTTAGAAAAATAAATGTGTCCTTACATTTTTGAGAAGAGTATAAACTAATGAAACCTTTACAAGCCATGGTGGGAGGCAATGGCCATCAAAATTTTCAGATGGGCTCGGGGGAATGGAGAGATGGCTCTGTGGTTAAGAGCACCTGCTGCCCTTGGGGAGGACCCAGGTTTATTTCACAGCACTCACACTGGGCAGCTCATTACTGCCTGTAACTCTAATTCTGGGGACTCTGATATTCTCTGCTGAGTTCTGCAGGCATCTACACCCACATGGTGCACAGACAGACAGGCGGGAATACCTACACAATATAAAATGAACACATCTTTAACACATTTGTTTGTTTGTTCGTTGGTTTTTAGCAGAAGGTAGCCAGGGACGGGCTCAGCGGGTAGAGCGCTCATTAGTGTGCAGGAGGCCCTCGTACCACGCGAGCAGCCATGTGGTGTGCACCCATCATCTCAGCATTTAGGGGGTAAAGGCCATCCTCAGCAACATGGGAAGTCTGAGGCCAGCCTGGGACACATGACACCTTGTCTCACGAAACTTAGTTTTAGCTAGGGATATAATTTAATGGTAAAGTGTTTGTCTGCTGTGTGGGCTCCAAGTTCAATCCCCAGTGTGAGGGAAGGGAGAGTTTGCAAATAATAAGTACTAAAGGGGGATGAGTGTGCAAATACATTTATGAGCCTGGGGGTGCAGCGCACTGGTAGTCTGTTTGCCTAGCACACACAGCACCGTGTGTTCAATCCCCAGCCTGGCAAAGAGCGGCAAAAGAATCAGGGGATACTAAGACTCGGCCGCGCCCAGCGTCAGCACTTTTCATCAGGTGTGGCAGTGCATGGTGATGCGTGAGGGGTGCCCCGCCTGGTCTACAGAATGAACCAGAGGATGAGGCCGTCTCAAAAATGCGAACGGAAAGAACACGCCACTAAATAAATACAGGACTATAGAAAGACATGGTGTTAGGATTCTACAGGATGCTTCATGTAGAGTTAAAAACACATAATGTGATATTTTTTCAGTTGGGCATAATGATATGTGACTATAATCCCATCTAGTAGGGAAACTGAAGCAAGAAGACCCTGACACTTGGAGTTCAAGGTTGGGCTGGCTAATTAGCAAGATCCTCATCTCAAAATAGCTAATCAGCTAACTAAATACTTAAGTCAATGGAAGTATCTTTATGAGATATACATATATAAAAATGATGCCTCTTGTTATATATAGGAATATACGTACAAATTATAACACACATATATACATACTTATATTTCTCTACATGCACATCCTTGAGTGGGGCTTTGGTCCATTGGTACAGCAGTGTACTAAAATGCACAAGGCCCTGGGTGTGACCGTCACAACTGGAAACAAGAACTACCAAAAACAAAGCCTAGGTGTGGTTGGGGTGAGTAGATAGCCAGAAGAGGGTGTCATTTCTTGGTACTGGAGTTAGGCACTTGTGAGCTGCCCATGTGCTGTGGGAACCAAATCCAGTCCTCTGCAAGAGCTGCAAGTTGCCGAGCCTTTTCTGTAGCCCAATGAACGTTCGAATTATTGAAGTAAATTTGTTATTGTTGGGAGTGGTGTGTATCCCTGTAATCCTAATACCCAGGAGGCTGAGGAAATAGTTTGCCTTTAGTTTAAGGCCAGCCTGTTGTTGTAAATTTAAAAAAAATGAGTGTTGGGCTATATGTTTATTATTGGCCCTAAGATTATCACGGCAGTATTATTTAACCCGCAATCGCAAATAATAAGACAGAGACATCTGTTAGGTTTTATAATTGCCTTATATACGTCAGTCTGGGCAAGGTAAATAAGGTATCCTGCCTCAATAACCTCACCATCCATCTCCCAGCCCCCATCCGGTGCCAGCCACCTTAATTCTCCTCGTCTGATCTACCTTGCATTCATAATCCCATGGTACTTGCTTCTCTTCTTCATCTGGGCCTTTTCACGCCATTATTGGAGTCCTTCCTCTCAGCCCACTTGGTTTTTTTCTCCACACTAACCCATCCTGGCATCCTCCATCCTCCTCTCTTCCCATCCATCTATTCCCTATGATTCTCCTGTCCTCTCCAAGCCTGGGAACCTTAGCCACGCCTACTCCATTCTGCCCTGCGCAGGTATAGGCCATTTAATCAACCAATCAGGCACATCTTAGGTTTACAAGCCAAGGATAGGTATAACCAGATCTTGGGGGACAGTAACACGCATCAGTCCAACCTCCAACACCAGCCTAAGCTACAGTGTAAGACCCTGTCTTAAAAAAAACAAAAATAAAAAACAAAAAATGAAGCAACCCCCCCCCCCCACACACACACACACACTGCCAAATTAATCTATTGTTCATTCTTCAAACATGGTATTTTCCAGACCATTTCAGAAAATTCTTGTTCAAGCTGTTGTCACACGTGTTGCATGAGTGATAAACTTACAAATGTGCCTGGCTGTGTTCCAACAACCCATGGAGAATCTCAGACTGCACTTCCATCCACGCTACCACAGCCAGCCAGTCATCTGCCCCCGCCTCTGCCTCCGCCTCCACCTCCTCCTCCTCCTCCACCTCCACCACCCCTCGCACCTTTGCTGCTCAGAAAATCTGGTCCTACTAAAGCACTTCAGGTAAGAGATAATCAATAACAATGTGTTTTAGTTAGAGTGTAATACAGGACTATATGGCCAAAGGCCTAGATACAAAAGGCTCTATTTTGTTCTGATTCTATAACTTATTTTGTTAATTATTCTGATTTCATTTGTAAGTTTTTGTTGGTTTTGGTTGTTTTTTTTTTTTTTGGGGGGGGTGTTTTTAAATATAGTCTCATGTTGCCTAAGCTCTTCTTCAACTGGTAGGCCCAAGCAATCCTTCTACTTTAGCCTTTGAGTAGCTGGCATCACAGGTGTATGTCACCACGGTGGTGTAATTATTGGGGTTTTCTTATTGTTGTTCCTTTGTTTTGCTTTAGGTTTTTGCTGTTGGCAGTTTTTGTTTAGTTATTCTCTGAGACAGGATCTTGATATGTAGCCCAGACTGTCCTAGAACTCAGAATGTAGCACAAGTTAGCCTATAAAACTTGTCTTTTGCTTCAGCTTTTGAAGAGCTTGGATTGTAGTCTACCATATATACATACATACATACGTACGTACATACATACATACATGTATATACGAGCCTGAAGTTTCATGGTTCAGCTACATTTAGACAGCCAAGACTACATAGTAATACCCTATCTAAAAAACGATGGTTAGGGAAAAGCAAAAATAAAAATAAATAAATAAATGAACAAATAACAATAGCAAGTTACTTTTCAACTCACTTGGTTCCAATGTGGATACCCTGGTGTAGGGGAGTCTAGGGCCCTGCCCCATGCTGAACAGTCCCTTTCCAAAGTGTTGGAGAAGAAGCTGGGCTTCAAGTCTGTGCCTGCATAGTCCTGTGACTTCTTAGAGTTCTGTGGACTATGCCTGAGGACACAAACCATGCAGGAAACAAAAGAATTAAAAAGAAAGAAAGAAAGAAAGAAAGAAAGAAAGAAAGAAAGAAAGAAAGAAGAAAGAAAGAAAAAATAAACTTGTGTTTGGATTTCAGTAGATATCCTGATCCTAGTTAGTTAGTTAGTTAGTTAGTTAGTTCGTTCGTTCGTTCGTTCGTTCGTTCGTTCGTTCATTTTTTTCTAGACAGGGATTCTCTGTATAGCCCTGGCTGTCCTGGACTTGTTTTGTAGATCAGGCTGGCCTCAAACTCACACCAATCTGCCCACTGGGATTATAGGCTCTGATCCCAATTTTAATTCTAACCTCTTCATGTTTTTTTAAGGTTGAACCGTTAAAGAAAGATGGACCCATGCATATAACAGTTAAAGATCTACTTACTGTAAAATTAAAAAAGACACAGAGTATTGAAGAACGGAAAAAGGTAAGATGTCAATAAGCATGCATGGCTTTCTTTTTGGGGGTCAGGGTGTATGTGTGTAGGCCAGAGGTGTTTGTTTTGTTTTTTAATGTTTTTAATTTACCTTCATTTTATCTGCATTGGTATTTTGCCAGCCTGTCTATGTGAGACATCAGATCTTACAGTTACAGAGATATACTTCCAGACTGACAGATCTTGAAGTTACAGTTGCAAGTTTCTTGGAGTTACAGACAGTTGCAAGTTGCCATGTGGGTGCTGGGAATTGAACCTGGGTCTTTTGGAAATGCAGTCAGTGCCCTTAACTACTGAGCCAACTTTCCAGCCCCAGGCTAGAGGTTAATTTAATGCATCTTACTTTATTACTTTCCACCTTACTTTTATTTATTTTTTTATTTACTTACTTATTTATCTTTTTTACTTTGAGACAGTCTCTCTATGTAGCCCTGGCTATCCTGGAACTTATTCTGTAGACTAGGCTGGCCTTGAACTTACAGAAATCCGACTGCTTCTGCTACTCTAGTGATGCAATTAATGGTTGAGTGTCAACATGCCTGGCATCTACCAGACCTTTTTTTTTTTTTTTCTTTTTTCTTTCTCTTTTTTCTGAGATAAGGTTTCTCTGCATAACAAGCCCTGGCTGTCCTGGACTCACTTTATAGACCAAGCTGGCCTCAATCTTTCAGAAATCCATCTGCCTCTGCTTCTGGAGTGCTGGGATTCAGGGCATGGGCCCTCATACCCGGCATCCTATCTGACTTTTTGTGGTGGTGTCTCACTGAGCCTGAAACTCCCTGGTTCAGCCACGAAAGCCAAGCTGCAAGCCGCAGGGCTCCTCCTAACTCTACCTCCCCAGGGCTAGGCCTGCAGATGTGCACTGCCACACCTAGCTCTTCACACAGACTGAGCTCAAGGTCTCATCCTTCAACTGTAAACACTGCACCAGCTAAACTATCTCCCAAGCTCCCAAGTGTGTTTTTCTGAAGTAAGATCTTGCTTCTTCACCGAGGCCAGCTTCAAATCCTTAAATATACCATACCCAAACCTCGCAAGTGTTAGAGAAACAGAACGTCCATGCCTGGCATCTTCCTTTTTTAACCTGGGTGCTCCTTTGTGGGAAATATGGTAAACCTTATTATGGATGTAACCATTCTGTGGGGGCTGGGTATACAGTTGAATGACAGAGCATTTGCCTAATATGCATGAGGCCCTGGGTTCAGTCTTAAATACTAAAACAAAACAAGAACAAACAAGCTGAGGAGATGTCTCAGTTGGTGCAGTGCTTGTCACAAAAGCATGAGGCCCTGCGTTCAGAGCTCTGACCCTCATACTTCTAACACTGAAGAGGTGGGGACAGTCAGATCCCCAGAGCTTTCGGTTCAGCAAAAGACCCTGTCTTGATATGACAGTGAATGAGAATGAACATGCCTGACATTAACCCCAGCCTCCACGCACACATTTGCACACACATACACAAAAAAGACCATGTACACACATGTATCATATCCAACCAAACACATCTCACATTTATGATGGACACAATGGCGTGCACAAATGATCCTAGCATTTGGGAGGTGGTAGCAGAGAATCAGGCTTTCAGAGTCACCCTTGAGTACATTGGGAGTCAAAACGCCAGCCTGGGCTACATGAGACATTCTGTAGATAACAGCGTACTAGATAGGTGTGGTGCCTCCCGCCTGTCGTCTTGGCACTTACGGAGGCAGGAGGGTTGCTTTGAAGTTGAGGCCACATCACTGTAAGCTTCATGCCAGTCTGACCTAACTCATAGAATCCTACCTAGTAAAATCTGGGAGATTTGAGGAAGTGTGAAGAGGAGCCTTTGAGCCTTTGAACCTTTGAAATAAAAACTAACTTGAGTCATGGAACATTTAAACTTTGGCAGTCAAATATTTGCTGTTTTGGTGTGTGTACATTAGAATGGTATTTTAATATGTGCCTTTGATGTCTCATTTTGTGATAAAGATTGTGCCGTCGCCACCTGAGGAACGGACGCCACTAGTTACTATCTCTGACCTGCAGCGCGTCACCCTGAAGCCTAACTGCAAGGTGTCAGCAACACGAGTTAAGAATGTCTTAATGTAAGGAATTGTACATTGTTATACTCCACTACTACCTAAAATGCTGGGGAGGGGGGATTGCTTTTTTAAAAAATTAAATATGATTTATTATTGTTTGTGTCTGCTGGGGGTAGGGGACCTTGTATCCATATCAGCGCCTTGTATGGAGGTGAGAAGACAAGGTTGTGGACTTGGCTCTCTCCTTTCACACTTACATGCATTCTGAGGGATCACACGCTGGTTGTCAGGCTTACACTGCAAGGCGGCTTTATCCACTAAAACATCTCACCTTTTGGCCCATTTCTGACTTTGTGTTTTGTGCTGTTGTTTGTTTGTCTTGAGACAGGGTTTCACTATGTGGCTCTCGCTGTCCAGGAACTCGATATGTTAACCAGGCTGGCCTCGAACTCACAGAACTCTACCTGCCTCTGCTGTGCTTTGACTGAAAGTATGCACCACTACACCCGGCTACAGTTTTAACTTTTAAAATTACATATGCTCACTATAGAAAAATTGAAGCTTACAACAAAAATTAAAGAGAAAAACAAAACTCATAGATCTGTGTAATTCATTTAACTCCCAACTTCTCAACAGCTACCGATGACTTTGGAAGAGACAGGTATTGGATGATTTTGTTGTTGTTTTTGTTGTTTGGTTTTTCTTTTTGTCTTTCGATTTTTCTGAGCATACACTTCTTTATTGCCAACCCAAGAAGTTGTCTAATACAAGACATACCAGTGATTTAATAAAGAACTTGGGGCAAAATGAAATATTAACAAAGATTTTTTTTTTTTTTAAGCCAGGTGTGATGGTGCATGACTATTATCTCAACACTTGGGCAGTGGAGACAGGATGATCAGGAGTTCAAAATCATCATCAGCTACAATAGTGGGGTCAGGGTCAGCCTGAGCTAGAGGACACCCTGTTTAAACAGACAGACCAACAGTTTCCAAACTTCCTGTTTCGGGGCTGGTGAGATGGTGTGGCAAATAAAAGCATATGCTGCCATGCCGGAAGACCTGAGTTCAGTCCCTGAGACCCATGTGGCACATGGGAGACCAAATCTAAGAGTCATTCTCTTGCCTCCACATGGAAACTGTGGCACAAGTGTACACACACACAGTTCTTTGTTTTAAATTTAATCCCCCTTTCTCCGATTCCTGACTGTGGGTACAGTTTAACCAGATCCCTTATGCTGTGTACCTGCTGCCATTCCTTTTCTGCATGACAGGCTGCATCTGTTCCCCCTTTTTTTTTTAAGATAGGGTCTTACTACATAGCCCTGACTGATCTGGAACTCACTTGGTAGACCAGGCTGGCCTTGAACTCACAGGGATTCACCTGCCTCTGCCTCCCAAGTAATAACCTTAAAGACATACACCGCCATGCCCTAAATAAACTCTAACTTAAATCCGGAAAGTTTTAATTTTCATGTCTTTGTTCTCAGTACTCCTGGCAAAAGCCAAATTGATCTTCGGAAGCTGCTTCGGAGAGTGGATGTAGAAAGGTAACAGTCTCTTATCCTTACACTTCTAAGTCAATTTGAGAAGCGGGAATAAAACACAGCTCTGATCTCCCTCATGCCTCTCCAGGAGTCCAGGTGGGACACCCCTTACCAATAAAGAAAATATGGAAACGGGAACTGGACTAACTCCAGTCATGACTCGGGCCTTAAGGAGAAAGTTTCAGGTGAGTCTGTGCAGGAAAACCAAAACTCCAAACAAAGTCCTCTGGTTCGTTTCCCAGAGAAACAGTTTCCATAAGTGCCGAGAGTGTAGCCTGGCGGGCATGGAAGCCTGGTCCAGTGCCAAGCACAGGGAGGAAGGAGGAGGAAGAATAAGCTAATTTATTTAGAATCGCCATCTAAAGTACTTACTTACATATTTTGAAAAGCAGTCTATGTCACCCCCAGGCTGACCTCAAGTGCATCATCTTCCTGACTCAGATTTGAGGATAATTGTCATGTCCCACACCTAAAATAGCTCTCTTAGTAACAATAACAATTGCTAATAATAGTGGCTGGAGCGGTGGCTCAGCGGTTAAGAGTGCGCACTGCTCTTACAGAGGACGTGAGTTAGATTCCCAGCACCCACATCAGGCAGCTCCCAGTTGATTGTGACTCTGGCTCCTGGATGATATGATTGTTCTGGCCTCATCAGTACATATTCTCACAGAAACTTGCTTAGATAAATAACTTAGAAATTAAAAATAGCTGGCTGGTGGTGTACACCTTTAAGCACAGCACTTGGGAGGCAGAGGCAGGCAAGTCTCTGAGTTCAAGGCCAGCCTGGTCTATAGACTGAGTTCCAGGACAGTTAGGACTACACAGGAAAACCCTGTCTTGAAAAAAAAA